TAAAGAATTTTTACATAAATAATCAAATTGAGTTGTGCCAGAGTCATGGTGTATTGTTGCTCTTGAAGACTTGTGTTATATAACCTTTGGCAATCCAATAAAAACATCTACCACGTAGTGGTCAAATGGTATATTGAACCAGGGTTAGGAAAAAGGTGAGGTGGTAGCCAGCTGTTTGAAACCATTTGAGTGACAATTGTTAAAACTGCTGTTGTTGAAACCCCAGGAAGGCAGCCAGATAACCAGGATGCTGTTTCTGTCACAATTCAGCATTAAAGACCAGGCAAGGAATTATGCACTATACAACTAACGTTTATGGAGCTCTGACAGAAATGGCCATCCTTGAGGTGAATAGGAAGGGTTCCAGCCTATTCCCAGAGTATTATTCCCAGCCTGTTCCCAGGTCTGAAGGCATGTGGGTTCTGCAGTAGGATGTCCTCAGGCCTAGATAACTAACTGGACAGAGGACCAGTGTAACACCTACTTCTCAACTCAGGCTTATAGAAGAGAAACTGTTTCTTTATTTAGGAAACAGCTAGTATGATCTCAAAATCTTTCCCTTACTCAGCAACATCCTACCCTTCAGTCTTTTTATTGCACCACACTGACATTAGAGCTGATATTCTAAATGAAGCAAAGCTTCAAAATAATGATCAATACAAGTAACATATAAAAGCCACAGTTGCCATATATAATAATAACCACCATGGATGTTTCAGGCATTGTGCTAAGTACCTTATATCCTGCACATGATCTCAAGGAATTCTTAGAGCTACGCTGGAAGACAGAAGGGAAACTGAGGCTTGGAACATTTAGGAAACTTGCCCAGGATGGCACATCAGTAGTAGGTGGTAAACCATGCTTTGAAGTCAGGCCTAGCTGACCTCAATTTCTATGATTTTACCCAAAGCTGGACTGCCTAGTTTATTCTCAATCTAACAGCGCGGCTTGTCACACTTTACTGAGAAGAGAATACTACCTTCGCACTTGTGCACAGTTGCTGGTGGAACCTATTTCCTAGCTCTTCACATTTTAATTCCTGGCTTGTCTTAACATTCCTCAGTTAGTACCTGAATACCAACACTTAAAAACCTTTAAACCGTTTGGGAATTTCAATCTTACTTCCTTTCTCCTCTGTCATGGCTGTAATATCGCTTCACAAAATGGAGGTCGGCCCATAAATACCTTCAAGGTGAGACATCTGATGTGTTTCCCCTACCTCCACCAAAGATGGCTTCCTCTCTTGTAACTTGGCTTCTACTTGTGGTGAAAAGAGGAAAGCCAAGAAACTACCACTTACTTCCCCAAAGTGTCTTATAGCTCACATATCCCACAGGAAAACTTTGATTTCTATTTTGAGACTGAGAGGCAGATCGTGACTTGCCTAAGGTCATAGACCTATAAAAGTGACAAAAATATATTGGTAAGTCAGACTCCACAGTCCATGCTCCTTCCATGATACCACACAACCATTTGAAAATAAGCTTTTTCTTCTAGGTATTCAGAGTACAAACTGGAACAGTGTTTAGCAAGGTACATAAATTTTTACTTCTAATAACCTGCAGAAGAATATACAAAATAAAAAAATTCTATATAGATACAGGCTATAGAATTGTGGAAAACCACACCAGCAGGAGGACTTGCCTTACCTTGGGAGCAACATAAAGTTGAGTCTGTCAGCTCTGTCCCTCTCTGCCTTGTACAGCTCTGTCCTTTCCTCTACCAGATGTTCTAGGTTTCGAGAATATAGCTGTAGACGTCGGATCAAAGTATCCATATAACTTTCATTTTTTTGATCATGAAAAAGGCTGTAGGTAGCAATAGATAATGAGCTCTTATGCATTATTAAGAAAAGATGAAACATTCAATAAAACAATGGACAAATATGGTGAACCCATAATTCAACAATGAAAAAAAAAAAGGGTGGGGCCCAACAAACATAACAAGAAAAGTTTAACCTCAGGAGAAATCAAAGAAGTTGAAGTAAAAATAAGATTAAAAAAAGAAAAACAAATGCTAGAATGACAGTACTCAATGTAGGAGAAGGAGGAAATATATACAGTACAACCTTTATGGAGAGCAATCTGGTAAAATGTGACACAAGCTTTAAGGATGCACATACCTATCAGCTCACCAACTCTACCTCTAAGAAACACAATCACAAATGTATGACAACTGAACTACAAAGAAAATCACAGCATTCTTTACA